GAAGTATAGGAGGCTCTAGCAAGAACACGTTGCATTAAATTCATTTACAAGTGTGGTTTACTAGTTAAACAACATACTTTTATTAGACATGAGGTTTGGGATGTGTGAAAACAAGATTTTATGAAGCTCGATTGCAAGACTCGTCCAAAGCAAGCATCATGGAACTAGATGTCACTTGTGCGAGTTCTTCCATGCATGCAAGGGGCTCCATCTCTTCGAAAGAGCACATTTTTCGTTTGATAAATTACTTACCTTTTATTATTAATTGCATGTTTCCAAAAATTTAAATTGTCATTTCATATTGTTTGTGATTCATTTTTATAGAAGGCTAAATTTGGTTATGAGCCAATGAGTATTGAACTATTTTGAATGACTCACGAGCAACAAGATGGTTCTTTTTTCGATCTACTCTCTCGGAAAACAATGGTAAGTGTTTTCAATTTTAAATTTTATATATGTCAATGTGATATAAAATTAATTTTAATCTTTTAACGATATCATTTTTTCAATTACATAAAAGCGTGTTGAAGAGCTCATATAGAAAGCTACTACGATGTAGCGAGTAGAAGGAATCTTAAAGTCGAAGGTTGAAAAGAAAGCCATATAGCTTGAAATTGTAGGGGAGAAAAAGAAGAGGGTATATGATGTAAGCACACGAGCGAGTGTATTATCTATCCTAATTAGATAGCGAGTAGCTTCTCCTTTATGTCATTGCATTACACCGGTGACATTTCTAATGAGGAGGTTCGAAGTAGTATGAGGAGATGAAGAAGGCAATGAAAGGGTGTAGGTCAAACAACACGAGCTTCAAAATCTTGTCATAGAGTAGCAGAGTACAATTTATTAGCTTAATTCTTGGTATAAATGATGACCTCCATGTTGATTAGGCTTGCACAAACGTCTTGATTGCCTATAGATTTGTCTACTTGTCGGGACTCCAATATTCCTTTCACCAAGCCTCCCGTCTAGCCTCCCATCTAGCCTCCTCGCCACATCCCATCGAGGCCTCCACCGAGTCCTAGGAGGAGGATATATAGGGGATTAGATGATTAGGATGACACTCGGGAGTGACAATTCATTTTTTTACTTTGTTTTTTTTTTTCATACGTACTACTCGAATCTTTTTTACTAATAATAATTTATATTTAATTTATAAAATTTAAATTATATATTTTTTCTTCTAATTGTTAATTACTACCTAGAATATTATTAATTTAAGAACAAACAAACAAAATGTAAAAAATATTATTTTTTTTATAAAATACAATTACCGATAAATTAGTGACGAATTGCCAATGAATTACCATGCCGATGGCGGTGGAGTTGCGATGGATTTCTTCAACATTCAACAATGGCATAGCGATGTTCTAGCGATGGATTCCATTAGCTTTGGATATTAGCGATAACATACAATTATTAAACAGCGACGGTCATAACGACGGAATAGCGACACTTAATACGACGGTTTGCAGCAACCGATTTAGCAATGAAAGTTTTCCTTTTTGTGATGGAAATTTTGTTGCTATAATAGCGATGGAATGTTTTTTGTTGCCACTAAGTTTAACGACTAGGATCTTAGCGACGCCCTTAATTTCCATCACTATGTGACATGAGTGACATATATTGGCTAAATAGCTATGGAAAAATTTGTCACTAATTGTCACTTTTCTTTTTGTGCAATGCTAAGTGGAAAGCTCATGAATGGGCATCTGGAACATAACTGAGGCAACTATTTGCAACAGTCTTGATGCGTTGGGAGATTTTAGACATACGTCAGTTATGGAAGATAGATAAAAAATATTTTGAGTGAAAATATTTTACATAGAGTTTAGGCTTATCTGAAATTTTAAAAAACAATCTAGTTGAATGAAGCACAACCGAAGAAATATGCACTATTAGAGAGATTGAAAATTAATATTATGCAAAGAAGTGGGAAAAGACTAAAACATGTTAGTGGGATGCCATTGCGTGATGCTTTTATTGCTGGAGATATGTATCCCATGAGGATGTATTGGTGATGTTTAAAAATATAGTTCCTATGTAGAAGTCATTGCTCATTTTTTTTTAAAAAAAAAAAAAGAAAAAAATAAGAAAAATCTAACACTACTCTAAAGAGTTCTTGTTAAATAAGTTAGTTACACAATTAAAAAAGAGGATAATCATCTTAGTGAACCTTTATAATAAGGTTATCTTATATTTCTAACCTAAAAGAAATTTATTCATGTTAGTCTATTTTTATGTCGTTTTTTATATGTTGAGTTGTGAGTTAATTATTGAATATTTTCTAAACAGTGTTAGATGAGATAGTTTGAAGACAATAAAAAAAAAAAAAAAAAAACAACTCAATGCATTTGAATTTGATGGCTAAGAACTAGCCTGAGACGTACTGAAAAAACTTAGCACCTAAAATGTCATTGGCTATTGAAACCTGTTTGGAAAGATAGAAGTTAGGACTCAAAGTCCATTTATAAATTAAATACCAATACCTAAACAAAAGACGGTAAAAATAAAATTCAACAACTGTAGACCCTAAATACAAGTTCACTTGCCAAGCCATGGAGATAAAAATTATGAATTCCCAAAAAGTATGGATAGAAAATCAAAAAAAGATTAGACTGATCGATAAGCCAATCAAGATGATGAGAAAGTTAGTATAATAACTTATAGAAATAATAGTCAACTAATTAAGCAAAAAAAAAAAAATGCAAATATAAAAAACGTACAAAGAAAAGCAAACAGTGCTAGTTTGAACAAAAAATCAAAATAGTTTTAGTTCTTTTAAGCTATGCAGTAGTGGCTCGGTGATGCCGTTGCTGGATCACGCCATCGCATTTCTTTAAGTTACTTAGGGCTGAAGGATTCCTTATCTATTGAAGTTGTCATTTGCATCTCATCTAAGCATGTGCTCAGTGGGCCTAGTTTTATTACTCATCATCAAATAGATTCTCAAGGAGTTAATTACATGAAAATCGTTTAGGTTTTTAATTTTTTTTCCTTTTTTGTTTTCTGAGTGCCTTTTTAAAAATGCTTGACTTGTTCTGAAATCCCGTTCCATCTATACTTGATTGTTAAATGCATATTTGTCGGACTTAGCCAAGAACTTAGATAATTAAATTGTTGGTCAACTTGCTTGATTTGATGGTTAATTATGATAATATAAAATATTAAAAACTATACAAATAATATTAAAACCAAAATTGTACTTTTTTAGTAGAAAGGGGATAAGATTCAAATCTTATGCTTAATAATTTGGTTTTCTTATTTTCTTGTTGGTCAGATCAATTGAATCTGACCAAATAAATATTTTGATCCATCTAATTAAAAATTCGATCCGTTTTAATTTCAAATCATTGGATTTATAGAATAATTTACCGAACAGTATCAGATTAAGTTTGATATTAAATGAAAGGTAACCAACAAACTTGGTACCAGTATGGTTCCTCTTCTTTTCTCTCCTTTTCTTTTAGTAAAAGATTTTGATCAAACATAAGAACACATATGAACAGAACGTATTTTAAATCCTAATATCACTCTGTTCCTTTTAGAATTTATCTTTGACAGTTTGAGGTCAACATTTTTGCTGAACCTTTGTTGTAGTGGAGGATGTAAATCTGTAGAACTTGCATATGCAATGTGAAAATATTTTAAAACTGATTTTCTGGCTATAAACCCAATCATGGCGCACAACTCGAAATCGAAGGACAAAATAGATGTATAAATGGGTGGTACAGATAGTTTGTCAATCATTTTCCATCTCACTCACATCATTAGTTTTACTTGCACGTTTTAGACTTCTCAAGGTGTACGTATAGACGGTAAGGTACCGAAAAACTTCAGAATCTTGATTGGAATTAAGGGTTAAGAAAATAAATTGCAAGAGAGAGAGAATGGCAATGAAAAATGCGAAGGTGCTTTTCAGGTTTTCTTTGAATTAAATCATCTCTATCTATGTACGTATAATCATCTCTATCTATGTACGGATACTTGTTTAGATTAATTTTGCGTAATTACTAATTTTCATATCTTAAAAAAATTTGCAGCAAGACATACTGTCCCTTCTGCACAAAAATGAAGCAGATTTTGGGCTATTTAGGAGTCAAATTCAAAGCTGTAGAGTTGGATGTCGAGAGTGACTTTTTCATTATTTCTTGTGCTCTATCTTATTCTTTTAATTGCTCATGCTTCTTACAAATCATTAATGTTAGAGTACATATCTCACATTAAATAGTTAAACTAAACATAATTAATAAATAAGGTTGAGAAGGAGCCATCGACTATGAGGATTAAATTTTTTGAATAAAATTTTATCTCAACTATTAAACTTTATATTATATCAAAGCCTCAAACGGTCGTTTTTTAGAGTTCAAGCTATTTGATAGATCTTAAAAAATGAACTGCAAGTAATAAAGAGTGTTAGAACACATATCCTATATTAAATAATTAAATTGAAGATAATTAATATATAAGATTGAAAATGAACCGTCCATCGGAAGACTTAAGTCTTTTAAATAAAATCTAATCTCAAGTATCTAATTTACATTACCAATATTTTTCACTAAATTACTTTGATTTGTCTTGAGCAACCAATATGTAACACATTTGTTTTACGATGTGATCCAATCATAAAGGAAGGAATTTTATTGAATTTTATGAGCACAGAACCATTGCATCCTATTGCCTATCCATGTGTGATTTTATGTATCTCAAAGTCGGGTTTGTCTTACTATGAAAGGGTGAATATGTGTTGTTAATTAGGGATTAACTGATTATAATTATAGTACAAATTGTTGTGTTTTTAAGAGGATGGAGCTGACATACAATCAGCTTTGGCTGAGTGGACTGGACAACGTACCGTACCAAATGTTTTCATTGGCAGCAACCACATTGGCGGCTGTGACTGTATGCCCTTCAATACCATCTTCCTCTACTTTTCTTTCTCTATTCGGTTTTCATTGTTTAACCCATTGCGCACGGGGGCTCCTTTCACTGTTTTGCAGCAATCATAGAACTGTACCAGGATGGAAAGCTGGTTCCTCTGCTAACTGATGCTGGAGCTGTTGCCTAAGCTTCTGCTTCTGCGCGCTCCGGCTTAATGAAGTTCCAGTTATGTAGTCGATATGTCTTGTAAAAATTAACCATTGCGTTTTGTCTGGTTTAAGCTGCATGTCTTGTCTTGTCTTCCGAGTCTTAAGCGTCTTTGCGTTCTATAATTATTCTGGTGATTTTCTTTTACTTGACATTTCTGTTTGCTATGGAATCTAAGTTGTACGCACTGTCAATGAATTATCAGCTGTCTTTTGTTGGGATACCATTACCGTTAAACTTACTCACTACACCAAAGGACCCTTTTTCTGAAGGTTTTTCAGTTAAGCACCTCTACAACATTCCCCGATGTTTTTACCAATGCCTCACAAATGTCGAGAATGTAGCCGTCTCTACAGCTTATCGAAGGTTTTTTCAACCACTGGAAAATGTTGAGGCAGATGTTCTGAGACGGTTAACCTGCCGCTAAATAATTTTTTGGAACGGGTAAAACCACTCCTAAATTGTCAATTCGTCATTCCTTTTTTTTTTTTTTTTTTTTTTTTTAATGCATAATATTTAAGGTGGTTTGAAACCGCCTCTGATTTTCCAAAATTTTTTAAATTTTTGTAGAATATGATTAGGAGCATTTTCAACTGCCTCTAGCTTTAAAGTGAATATTCAATTTATAGAGGCGGTGGTGTCTAGTGTTTTAGTTTTATTTAACCTATAAATTAATAATTCTATTCTTTTTTGCCAAAAAAAAATTAAATAAAACATATATTACACCTTTTGAATGAAAATAAAAGAAAATTATATCACTTATACAATATTCTTAAATTTATAATTATCCAATTCTAAGTACATAAAAAGTCTTCAAAAAATCCACAAAACAAAAATAAAAATAAACTTATTTGTTAAACACTTGTTCATAACAACTACGCAAAGTTCCTGAAAAGAAGTGGCTATTGTTCAAAAAAACAACTCTCACATTTTGATAAGAAATGCTTTACTTTTGCTAATAAATTAATTGTGATGAACGATTGGGAAAAGGAGTATTTTGACCATTGCCAACATTAGTAACATATTACAAGCACAATTTCAAAGTGAATAAAGAATCAATAATATAAATATAATTAAGTATAATGTATATACGATATATAAAAAATATTTTAAGGAGAAATATGTTAAATTTTTAATCAAAAATATATAAAAGATATTCAAGTAGTGTTCGAGAAAGTATGCATAAAATTCTAATCAAGATATCTTTTTGTAATGAAAACCGTCGAGTAGCTAATGTGACATTTATTGCATTATATCTAGATTGCATCATATTTGGCTTTTATTGTATGAAATTGCCCTATCATTTCTTCTACTCGCTCTTAATTGATTTCTAAATGCACTACCTAGGCCACTTTCAAAGTTGAGATTGTAAACCAAAGAACAATGTTGGTGTTGGACCTCTAACTCTACCATTATGTTCTTTACCCATAACTTTTTGAAGCATCTCTTCAACTTTCTCATTAATAAAGGTGGAAAAGGAACTCGCATAACGATCAACTTGGAGAGAATGAGCTTTTTTCCTTGAAATATCAATACAAGTATATTTCAAACAAATCAATAATGTTATAGCATTCCTCAACAATAAATAAAAATAAAAATTTTAGTACCATTTTTTTGCTAAAATTATCATCCATAAATGTGTTATCCTTCTTTTTATGAGTAGCTACATATAATGTCAACCTATCGAGTTCTTTTCCATCCCTTTTTTCCTACTAATAATTATATAGAACTAATCCAATTTTATATATATAAAAATTATGTAACTATAAAGTTATAAACTTAAAATATTACAATTTCTTTTCTTTTCTTTGCACATCTTTTCTCGCATAATGTGTGCGCACACTTATTTTTGTTTGCGTTGGCAATATTTATCTCACTTGCTTTCTATAAAATAAATAAATAAATAAAAGACATGCACATTTGATTATAAATCATAAACATATAGAAAAAAGCAATTTATAACATAAAAAAAAAAAATTGAAACCTAGTTTATAGAGTATACGATCTATTCACAAAAGAAGACTACTAATCTATAAAAATACTATGAGAAAAACCTTTAGATGCAATGATCTCTTCTATAGTTTTGTTAGGACAAAAAAAAAAAAAAAAAAAAAATTCAACTTTCAAATTACTTTTGAAATCCCTCCACTTGTCAAAATCCATTTCTTTGCGGTATTAGAAAAGTCAAACTTATCTTATTAAATAACAAGCAAAAAAAAAAAAGAAGTTAAATAAGTAATTAAAATACAACTTTCATGTGACTACCGTGATGAAATACCTTCACAAGCTTTAGATCGTTGTTCTTGAAGACATCAAACTCCTTACAATCTCATTTTAGAATGCTCAAAGGTGCATGAATTCCCTTTTTTTCGTTATTAATATTTAAATTTAAGAACAAATAAGAGTAGCTCTTTTGTACACGGAGCTCTATATTTGTCAACTTTTACGAAAATTTGTTCTCCAGACTTCCAAGTATTTTAAAAAATCTTTCATTGAAGCTCAACCTCACTTTTCCATACGTTTCCCTCTTTATCTATGTTATCATTATAATTTTGAGAATTAAGATACAATAAATGACATAGAAAAAAATTAATATCTCACAAATAGTTTCAACCTTATCGTCGCTACTTGACGTCGGACGGGACTCCCAAATGAAAAATCTATCTTATGGGTTTTATTTACGGAATTATTTATGAGTTTGGAGTTTCCATCTAGTATTAAAGGAACTAGTAAACTAAAATGAGCAACGATTCGGAGATTCTATGGTAAGGAGTTGGTTACATTTTTAGAAAGATTTTTAGTAATTAAAAAATGCCCTTTTCGAAGAAAGGTATCACGTGTAGTTTAGTCCTAAATTCATCTCTTTACGTGTTTTATTTGTGCCAAATTTTTTTTTATTTAAACTTTAGTTTTCAAGTCAAATTAAGTTTTTTATTTTTTAACGTGGCATCGTATTGAAACGATCGTCGGACCCCTTCGTCGAGAGACACATTGATTCATACATCGGATCCACTTTTTGAGTCTCAACACAACTAATGTGTCGGAGAACATCTAAATTATTAAAAGACAATTTTGGTAACAATAGTCCTTATTAGATAAGAGACTTTGTCAAGAATATTTATTACTTTTTGTCAAATGACGAGTCCATATCGGATAGAAGACTTTGTCAATCATATTTGTTATTTTTTATCAAATGATAATCCCTATCAGATTGGAGACTTCAATGAGAATTTTTATTATTATTTTTTTCAAATGACAATCTCTATCAAATAAAAGATTTCGTTGAGAATTATTTTATTTTATTTTTTTCATTTTTTTGTTAATGACACTCTCTATCGGATATGAGACTTCATTAAAAATTTTAATTAATATTTTTTTCTCCTTTTTTTAGTGGAAACCGTCATTAGTCCCTAAAGAATTAGGAGACTTGACAATTCTTTACCTATTAATTATCGAGTCTAATTATTAAACAAGTAAATTAAAGTTAAACTAAGTAAATAAACTAAAGAAAATTCAAATATTGAAATCAAAATTAATAAAAAACATACATAATTAAAATAAATTCAAGGTTAAAATTGAATTAATTAAATTAATTATAAAAAATTAAAATATTAAATTCTAAATTGATGCAAACTAACAAACATGCATAAAATAAACTCAAAATTAAAATTACATTAATTAAAATAATTGAAGACAATTCAACATCTAAATTAAATATGAAATAGCAAACATGTATAAAAATAAAGTTTAAAGGTAAGACACTTTTTTTTTTTTAATTTTTACTTTTCTCTTTTCTTTTCTTTTTTTTTTTTTTTGAAGGGTTTGAGTCTGGACTATCTAATTGAGCCCAATGTTCTTTCTTTGGGGACCGGACTGAGCTGAGATCATCCCAATCCAACCACACATATGGGTTGGGCTTAACCTAACCCATAAACACTTCTTAATTCCTCTTTTGACAAAAAATGGATCATAACCCTCTTTTTAGTTTTCCTCCCTCACTCTCTTGCGTTTTTCTCTCTTTCCCTTTCTTTATTCTTCCTTCTTCTTCCAGAATCCATCCTTCAAGGAACCTCCTTTTCTTCCTTTCCTTTTCCTTTTTCTTTCCTTTTCTTCCTTTCTTCTCTTCCTCCTTTCCTAAATCTCCATCATTCTCCTTCTAAGTACAATGAATAACATGATAACATGATAAGTGTATGCTAGTACAATAAAACCGTGATTGACTTCTAGTGGCATACACTAGTATAAATAAAATTCAACCTTACTTACTTGTTGTTGAGGCCCAACTTACATGTGCTTATTCGGTCATCCTATTTCGGATCACGAGGTCAAACCTACTTTGATACCACTCTGTAACATCCAGCTCAACCTAAGACTTAAATAGGTTGAAAATATTGCTGACAATGTCTCATATTCTAAGTACAATAAATTCAAGACATCAAGTCTCGTATCCTTTTTACTATCTAATTAATTATTATTCACAATGAATACTTATTAATATAATTAATTAGGTCCATAATTTATTTAAAAGTAGCTATAAAATTTTTCCAAAATAAATTCTTATCATAAAAATGTTCTTTAATAAAATTTATAGATATACTTACCCAAAAGTATGGCTCAAAACCTATAGTTGTAAAACTCAATTTAAATACTTTAATACAATATTATCAATTAAAATAAGACAAATTGCCCCTTTAATGTTCTCCTATTTTAATAAAAATTTGAATTAAATATATATTTATATTAACATGAAATAATCAACTTAGTCCAATTTATTATATTTAATTCCTAATATTTTTCTTTATTGCTCAAATTAATTAAAATAGTCTTTCTTATGAAATAATCAATTAATTTAACAAATCAATTGCACAAAACTCCCATTATTTCTCTTTATACATTAAGATTAATTGAAAAAAAAAGAATTAATTAGACATTATTTGATTAATCACCATTTAAATTAACTTATATATTTAAACTATGATACTTTCAATTTAATAGGAAATCCTTAAGGTTAGAAAATCAATTGATTAATTCAATTAAAACTTTAATTTAGCCCATTGGAAGCTAAATTATGAGTTAAGTCTTTTGAAAACTATTTAGGTTCAGTAAATACTAGTTCTAG